GCTTCATTTACACTAGATCTGAAAAAATATACATTGTTTAGTCATTAATGTGTAGCCGTGCTGTCAAAATTGCATTAGAAAGTCTAAAAATAACATATGATCTGCAATGTTTGGTGCAGGGAAGAGACTTTGTTCTACTTTAAAACCTCCTGTGACGGTTAATTCATCATGCAAGAGCTGACAAATTTGGCCTTTGCACTAAAAGTAATTACAAATCAGTAAAAAAAACCAATAGCATTTATAAACGTATACAACAGTATTTTATATTTACCTGCTTTAGTTAAGTGTTGTTATAATCCTAGGCTCTAAATGTGTGTTCTGCGTGTAGTTTTGTGTGCAGAAGTTGTTTAGTTTATCTGAAAAACGCAAACAAAAGATGTCAGACTTGAAAACTTGAGCAGGTTTTTCTGCAGCCTTGTATCAGTGTGAACAACTATGAGCCTGCTTACTTTGGCAAAGGCACCAAACTGACAGTTTTGGGTAAGAAAAGTCTCGAAAATCCTGTTTTTTATTGACATTATTTACCCTAAATCTGCAAAATTAATGTTTCAAGTCTAAGGCCTAAGTCTGTTTTACTGTATCAGCATAAAAATCTAAAAACAATATAAGATTGGCAATGTTTGGTGCAGGAACACGACTTTGTTCTACTTTAAAACCTCTTGTCAAGGTTAATTTATTGTGTTAGAGCTGAGAAATTTGGCCTTTGCACTAAAAGTAATCACAATTTGCAAAACAGCATTTTATACTTACCTGCATTAGTTATTTCTTTTTTAATCTTAGGCTCTAAATGTGTGTTTTGACTGTAGTTTTGTGTGCAGACGTTGTTGAGTTTATCTTAAAAAGAGCACAAAAGGTGTCAGATCTTAAAACCTGAGCAGGTTTTTCTGCAGCCTTGTATCACTGTGACCAACAACTATCCTGCTTACTTTGGCAAAGGCACCAAACTGACAGTTTTGGGTAAGAAAATTATATAAAATCCATTTTTTATAAAAATTATTTACCCTAAATCTGAAAGATTATTGTTCCAAGTCTAAGGCCTAAGTCTTTTTTAGTGTGTAGACATGAAAATCTAAA